ACCCAGTTGAAGGGAAAGGAGGAATCCCCAGAAAGAGAACTAAATGAAATAAAGGCAAGTAATCTATCAGATATTGAGTTCCAAACAACAGTTCTAAGGAAGCTCAATGAGCTCAGTGAGATCAGAGAGAATTACAAAAAAACTACAGGGAAACTACAAAGAACTTACTGCAAACTATATAAGCATGAAAAAGAACACAGAAACTATCAATAAGAGACAAGAGGAAATGAAGAATACAATTTCTGAATTGAAGAACACAGTAGAAGGAATACAAAGCAAACTAGGTGAAACAGAGGATCGAATCAGCACATGGAGGACAAGGTAGAAAAAAGCTCCCAGAAAGAGCAAGAAAATGAAAAAAGACTCAAAAAGAATGAAGAGGTGTTGAGGGAAATGCAGGACAGCCTGAAACATAATAATATCTGTATAATAGGAATACCAGAAGAAGAAGAAGAGGAGGAAGGGATAGAGAACCTGTTTGAAAAAGTAATGATGGAAAACTTCCCTAATTGGAGGAGAGAAAAAGTTACCCAAGTCCAGAAAGCACAGAGGGTCCACTCAAGAGGAACCCAATGAGGCCCACTCCAAGACACATCATCATTAAAATGGCAAATATCAAAGACAAACAGAATCCTGAAGGCAGCAAGGGAGAAACAGATAATAACATACAAGGGCATCCCGATACAGCTGGCAGCTGACTTCTCCACAGAAATACTACAAGCCGGAAGGGAACGGCAAGAAATATACCAAGTAATGAAAAGCAAAGGCCTGCAACCAAGACTGCCCTACCCAGCAAGGCTTTCAATTAAAAGGGAAGGCAATATAAGGAGGTTCCCTGACAAAAGGAGGTTAAAAGAATACATCTCCACCAAACCAACATTGCAAGATATGCTAAAGGGACTGCTTTAAGAAGATGAAGAAGAAGAGTCTATGAATACCCTGTTCCTTTCACAGTCACCAATACTTGATATTACCAATTTTTTAATATTTAGTAATCTGATTGTGACAATGATGTGTTAATTGTCCCTTATTATTTGTTGAAACTAAACCTACTTTTGTATATTTCTTGCCTATTTCTATTATTTTTAAAAAGCTTCAAATGACTTTTTGGTATTCTTTATTCATTTTTTGATTAAATGTCTGTAGATTTTTTCCCTAAAAAAACAAAAAAACTATTAACCCTTTACAGATGTGTTGCAAATACTTACCTATTATTTGTCCCTTTTTTACATGAATATTACTGTATAGCCTTAAATGTTTAATATAGTCATTTTGTCAGTATTTTACATTATAGTTTCTGGGTTTGAATATTTTACTTCAGGGTAAGAAAAATATTATTTTGTATTTTCCCCTAAAAATCCTTATATTTTTCATTTTGATTTTTAACTCACTTGAATATTTCTTGTATAATATGTGAAATAGGGCTCTATATTTGTTTATTTCAAGTAATAATGGTCCATGCACTTCATTTGTTCAATAAGCCTTATTTCTCCCATCGATTTAAAATATCAGTTTAATCATATGTTACACTGTTAGATATATACATTTGTTTCTAGAGTGCTCAATTTATTTCATTGATCTACTTGATTATCTCTGTACAGGTATCATGATTGCTGAGACCTTATAATGGATTTTAAATTTTTAATATTTTATAATGGATCTTAACATTTAAAAAAATAAATAAATATAACCAACCTGCATTTTAAAGAAAAAAGAAAGAAAGAAGGAATTCCAACCTTTTGCAACAACATCAATGGAACCATAGAATATTATGCTAAGTGAAATAAGCCAGTTGGTGAAAGACAAATACCATATGATCTCACCGATAAGTGGAATCTATTCAACAAAATAGACTAACAAACAAAATAAACCATAGGCATGGAAATATGGAGCAGACTGAAAGTGACCAGAGGAAATGGGGAAGGAGGACAATGGTGGAAAGAAGAAGGGACTAGACAAAGAACATGTATGAGTGACCCATGGACATGGACAACAGAGTGGGAATTGACTGTGGAAGTGAGGGGTGGGGGTGGGATGGGTGGAGGCGGGTAAAGGGGGAAAATTGAGACAACTGTAATAGAATAAACATGATTTAAATGAATAAATAATACAATGCAAAATAAATAAATAAATACGTCACCAAAAAAAAGCCCTGAGGTATATATTTTTATAATTTATTTTGTTTTTCTATCTGCCATTTAATCTCTCCATTCTCCTAAGGAAAGCCTTTATTGAATTTTACAAGTCGTTCCCACATTTATTTTATATAATGTCATTCACAAGTGTATTAAAATTGTGGTTGGGATTATTTTAGGTGCAATTAGTTTGTTTAAAAAAAAGCAAATTGGCAAGCTCAGGTCTTAGGTCTCTGAAGGGAAAAAATAGGCTGACAACCCTAGATAAATATGGGAAGTAAGAGGTTATTGGGGTCATGTTAATAATGAGTTAAAAATATGTGGATCAGCTTTTGGAAAAACTTTGTGGTGTTCACCCCTCTAAATACTGCTGGAAAAATAACTCTGACCAAGATTCCATACTATTTTCAGAGAAAGGTACCTTCATGCTATATAAATTTCCCCAGAGCTACAAGGTCTGAGACAGAATTATTGATACATGAAAAGGGCAACATGTAAAAAGATATCATAATAAGTCAGGACCCCTGTGTAGAATAAAAACAAGAGTTCTTTTAGATTCCATCATTTCTGGAGTAAATTAAACCTTATAGTATGTGAAAACATCTTCAGTTTCTTTGCAGGATTGTAGTTCTAGAAGGATGTTGAGGCATTATCTAGAAAATCTATGCATCGCTTTTAAGATAAAGAACACTAAAATACTCCAAAATGACACCAAGCTCTTCCAATTAAAATTAATCTAGCTTGCTTGTTTACTTGTCAGTTTGTCATCATTGTGCTAATGTGTCCCAGATTCTTACGTGGTGGATAATTTTAATCTATTAAAAATAAAATGATGCCCTCTTTTGGTCAGCAAGTGACCTGACCTACCTGGTGACTCTTTATATTTTCTGGAGTTAAATTTCATTACATCATTTTAAAATAGCTCGCAATTCTCTCGCAAAGGCATGGCCCTGAATACAAATGCTTCACATTTCTTCAGTGTCCAGCCTATTCAGCACCACTTTTTCCTACTTCATTTATCACACTAAACTGTAATTCTTATATATCTTTATATTTGGCCACAATCCTTGGCTCCCTCTTTAGTTGCTCCTAAGAGGTCCTTTCCTCTTATTTCTGGAAATTATTTTCCTGCCAAAATGAATTACCCTCCACTTTGTCCTTATTGAACTCAGTTCAATTTATATTTTCCCACTTCTCCAATTTGTCAAGATGTTTTGAATTTAAATCCTACAAAAAGAAAGTCAGTCCACCCAAGTAGATGTCATCAGTATAAATATATTTTGTTTTCATTCAAGTGATTGATAGAAAAGTGTCTGTTTTCATCCTGGAAGATGTTAATCTGAATAGTCTTCCTTCCAAAGTTAATTTAGAAATATTGTTAATTGCTGATAAAATTTACTACACAAAGGGAGAATGTGGTACAACTATTTATTTACACATTTGATTTTTTGAATACTGTCTACATATCATGCTCAAATAAGTAAATTAAAATCAATTGAATATATTTTTCATAAGTATCATTCTAAAGCAAATGAAATCAATTAAATAATGAGGGTTTTTGAGACTTTTTATCAACTATTTTTCTGTTTCTAATTAATTAGGGGGAAGAAAAAGCTACTGTATATTTCAATACATTTCTGTTTAAAATATGGAACAAATGAAAAGCAATGTTATAAAATTTTAAGTAGAACTGAGGTATCCAGTGCATGATACATAGTATGTTAATATAATCTTGAACTTTTTTTATTGGTAATGTCCATCAGTAGTGAGAATGCTCATTAGTTTATTTAGCTTGTTTTCACATCGACAGCCTTGCATATTTTGACTTATTTGATTAATTCACATATAGTATACATAAATTTTAAAATGTGTGACTTTTATTTATCTCATTGTAGTGAATAATATTACATTTTCTCCTACTTTATCTTTGATATAATAAAACACACAAAGAAATCCATTTGTCATGTTCTTCAAACCAGGGAAATGGCTTAATATATAATTATATGACCTTTGATTACCCCAGGATTGATTTTTTATAACAAAATTTTAGAAATAAAAATGTAGATGATTCACTAATTTCTGATAATCTGGATTTACACGGTGCAAACTTGGCACTTTCTTAACTATTTTTATTAAAACCTGTAAAAATTTAGGAAATCACAGTAGGGAGTCAAAAATTATTTACAAAGGATCATTTATTAAACACTTTTTTTTTACAAAATACAAAGATTGTTGTTCTGCATGAATACATCATATATGAAAAAATAATGTGTCTTTACGGAATTTTATTTGAAGACATTCAGAATTTTATTGTCTACCAAGTTGAGGAATCAATTATGTTTTGAAACTGGTCTAACACCATCATTGGTCAGGGGAAAATATTTTTCTTGTAAATTAAATGATATTCACAACAGCTAACATTTTATAGTAATAAAATCAGACAATGTCTGTCATACAAAGCTCTTTCTGCAAGGTAACTGATTTGCCTATGATCCTAATTTTTTTTCAAGCTATAAGATAGGAAGGATTGAGGAGCTAGGTAACTTTTATAATAATGTATTAGCAGCAGTTGATAGAAAATGCAACATAAGATTTGTTTTGTCTGTGGTACAAGAATATGTCCTATCAGACTCTAATGTATTTTCTCTACTTGAACACAAGTAAGCATGTGCTGATTGTTTCTGGGATGACAAAACGTATGAAAAGACAAGAAGTTGTTTCTGGTTGTCATCGTGAGTGCCTATTTTCATCAGCTAATATGAACATATTGCTAAACTTAGTGAAGACAGGAAAATGACTTAAGGGTAATATATACAGAGTCAAAATACATTTTTCCCACTTAAGAGTGATTTCAGGCACTGTGGTTGTTCAGGATAAAATGTTTCATGATTTATTCTTGATAGCAATTTAATTGTCAGTGCAAGCGAAAGCAAATACCTGCCCGCTGTCATATGCATCACCTCGTACGTCTGGCATGTTCAAAGCAAGTTCATCTTCTGCATCTTCATTCTGGAGGCACGTTGAATAAAAATGTCTCATAGTTTGCTCTTGATGGCAATTTGATTTTCAGTGCAAGCAAAAGCAAACGCATACCTGCTCACTGTCATACACACGACTGACACATCTGGAATATTCAAAGCAAGTTCACCTTCTCCATCTTCACGGTGGAAGCATCTTTAGTAAGTGGCACTTAGTGTAACACCCTCTATAAATCATGAGAAACAGACTCAGATGCCTGAATTTAATAATATTAAAAATCACCATCATAGTCAGCTCTCTGTGTAAACGATGTTTGAGTAAGGCTTGCCATCACACCATTTCTTTCCTGAGAATGGAGCTGGTCCTCTCTGTGTATATCATAAGTGTGCGTGCTCTGAGCTGTGGTCACTGTCGTGGCTGTCTTCATTTGCTAGAGAGTCCCCTGTTTGCTGGAGGGTGGCCGCGCCAATTCCCGAAAGCTCAGAAGGGAGAAGTGTTCCCTTTTTCACATTCACCAGTTCCTTTTCTCGAGCTGCAGCTCCTTGCTGACCCCCTTTTACTCTCTTCCACTTCATTCGCCTGTTCTGGAACCAGACTTTCACCTGTAACAAAGAAAAGGAACGAACAAGCAAAAGAAAGAAAATTAAATAACATTTTTTCCTCCTTTTCTGTTGTCAATGAAAAAATAGCTCCTCAAAGCCTTACACAAAGACACTATGAAGGAATGAATAGAGAAAAGACACCAACATTGAGTTTAATCAGGTCCAATTCATGATAATAATTTTTAAACTTTCAGAAGCTGCATATGAAATACTACATTTCAATTGCATGGTATATCATATAAAAATAGATGAGAAAGAATGATCATTTTAGGTTGTTCACAAGTATTTGGCTTTACAAAAAGTTTCTATTAATTAGGGCTAACATTTTTTAAATTTATTTTTCAATAACAGTTGATATACAATATTGTATTAGTTTCAGGGGTACAACATAGTGACTACATAAGTGTACCTTACGAAGTGATCACCACAACAATTCTAGGACCCATATTCTGGTACCACACATAGTTATAACATTTTAATAACTAGCTCAGTGAAACACCTTCCCTCTCCCCCAAGTTCTTTGACATGGCCATGGCATCTAGCTGTCAATTCCTGAACCAGCGTAAAGCCTGCTCAGGCAGCTGCTGACGAAGCTGTATCTGAAAGGTCCTTCAGTCCGCCGCGGCCCCACGCTGCGTTCAGAGCTTTATTTGAGCATGCACTTCGGAATCAGTCCATCTTCTTTGGAACTATTCTTTTTGTCTGCCTTTTGTACTTTTATTTTACTTTTTATATATGTGATTCCAATTACTTCCTAAAAATAAGGTCAAAATAAAAAATTTCCACTGATATTTGTTAAATGCTAATACTGAGATTATACATTATATAATTCACATCAGCTTTGTAAAGGTAAGTTTTCCTTCTAAAATATTAATTGAATTTGCCTAAAACTATATATATATATATGTATAGTTATACTGGAAGCCCACTCATGATCACAACCAGAAAAATAAGAAAAATATTGGCATCATTTTACCATCTATTTTTTAACCCTTACTGAAGGATATGTTTATTGATTTTAGAGAGAGAGAAAGAGACAGAGGAGAAAGAGAGAGAGAGAAACACTGTTGTGAGAGAGAAACTGCTCAGTTTCCTCCTGCGTGCACCACAACCAGGGATCGAACCCACAACCTGGGTATGTGCCCTGACACGGAATTGAACCCACAAGTTTTTAGTGTATGGATGGTGACGCTCCCACCAATTGAGGTACCTTGCCAGGGCTCACTGTCTTCTTTAGGAGGAACTTTTTTATTTTCACATTGAGTTTCTCATCGTTAGCCTTGTTAATCGAAGTGTCCTTTCACATTCCATTTCTCTGTCTACCCCACTCCAAGTTACCACAAGCCTGAATTTTGTGTTTGTCAGCCCCAAGTGTTTATTTTAAAGTAAACAAACAGCTTTCAGAACATGTGACTCTTGTTCTGTTTAATTAGATACTGTTAAAAAGATACTGTTTAATTTTGAATGTTTTTTAGGCTTATCAAACTGGAATATACTTAACTAAGGCTTCTTGCCTTATCCACATTGATTTAAGGGACTGCCTTCATTCATTTTTTTTTAAAAAATGATTTATATAATTCTATTGTATAAATACACAATAGTTTTATTTTCTTTCCCATGGACACTTTATTACTTTTTTTCTTTTATAAATGATGCTGGGATAAATATTCTTGCATTTGTGTTCTGATAAACATGTGACAGAACTTCTCTAAATATATACCTAGGATTTGCATTAATGGGTCAGAGGAGTATGAATGTTCAACTTAACATATTAATACAGAAAAATTTTTTCCAAGGTTGCATCAATTCAACTCCCCAAAGGCCAGTGTGTAAGAGCTTTTATTGATCTATATATTTGCCAACATTTGGAGTTTTCAGTTATTTTTCCAATACTGTGATAATAAATGTTATCTAAAGGTGTTCTTATTTTACATTTCCCAATTATTAATGAAGTAAAGTATGTTTAAAATGTTTATGGCCTATTTGCACTTCCTTTTTTCTGAAATGCCGTCACATATTTGGTTTACATTAATTCTTTTTAATTTTATTTTATTCTTCATAGACTTTTAAAATGTGTTCTGATTGCTAATTTAATGCTTTATGGTTATATGGCTGCTACTATATTCTCTCAACTTATTGTGTGCCTTTTTTTTTTCATTTCTGAGAGTGTCCTTTGATGATCAGAAACTCGAAAGTTTAATATACTCAAATTTTCAATTGTTTCTGTTTTGCCTATCAATTTTATGTCTTCATGTAAAACCTCCTTTCTGCTGAGGACATTAAGAAATTCTTCTATGTCTTCTTCTAAGAGTTTTAAGGTTTGCATTTCAAATTGAAGTGCATAATCCATGAAGCACTGATTTTCATATATATTGCAAAGAACAGATCTAAATTTACTTTATTCCATATAGATAACAAGTTGTTCCAGGACTATTTATTAAATAGTCTACCCTTCTTCCAGTGACCACTGTTTTAATTCTGTCATAAACTAAGTTTCCATATAAGTATAGCTTGATTGGTGCACTCAATTTTCCTATACTTGTGACAAAACTACAGTCTTAGTTATTCTAATTTCATAATAAGTCTTTACATCTAATATAGATAGTTCTGCTTTATTCTACTCCAGGAATATCGTGAATATATTCATTTCCATTTTAGAAACAATCTCAATTTCTGCAAATGCATTGTGCTAAAGAGAAACTAAAAATAAATACAAATTTCCAAAGATGTTTTTATTTTAATGTTCTTCAAATCAAAATACTCCATCAAAATTAGTACAGTTTCCTCAGATGCCTGAACTAAAAAATATTTAAACAGAGATGTTTCTCACTCAGGATTTTTGGTGGTCTATTAGGCCATAACTGAAGTCTTGTCGCATATATCACCCATACATATATTTATCCATTTGGCAATCAAATAATAAGGAAATTTGGGAAAAAAATTGATGACTAACTCAAAATATATTAAAAGAAGTTTGATTAAAAACTAGCTGATGGGTATGTGTGTATTATTATTACTTAATAACCAAATGTACCTACTTAGGGCTATGAAACCATACTAACAGGTGCTATTCATGCATTATTTGTAATACAATTTTTCCAGATATTTTTAACATTATTCCTATTTTATAGATGAGGAAGTTGAGGCTAAGAGGCTAAGTGACTTGCCTAAGAGTACGCAGATGGGTAAATGTGGTGCCAGAATGTAAATCTGGGGTTGGTTTGGCTCCAGTTTGTGCTTTCATTGAATTTTTTTACTTTTAATTATTTTTGTACCTGTTATACTTCAAACTTCCACGTTTTAAGCATTCCAGATGGAAAAATAAAGCATATAAAATATGTGAACTCCATCCATATGATTACTATCATTCAGGTAATTCTCCTACTTGATATAATTAGGTTTGTAAATATGACACTATTTTCCTGTACTGTAATTTATGTAATTATACTACTCAATTTAATTACCTTTGCAAGCCTGACATTGCCCGTTGCATTAGATCTTTTCCACATGAGTTGGGTTCCACTCCTGGCTTCACTTCTGAGTTTTTGCGTGAATTTGAGAAAATTATCCTTCTCTCTGCCTCAATTTTCATATTTGTAATATTGGAATAATGAGCCTTTCAAGATTCTCCCTAGGGACATTTTCTCCATGGACAATTCCAGATGGAAGAAACACATTATCATTATTGTCACCAAGACCTGAGATATTCAGTCAAAATCACCTTGGCAGAAAATGGGAGGAAAAGATTTCTCAAAATTTACTCTTATTTCCTTTTTCTAGGAAAAGGGCTCAGTAATTCTATAGTGCCAGTATAAAAACTGTGCTGTGTAATTTTATATGAAAAAACATGCAAGGATATGGTATTGATTTTAGAAATAATATAGGCTATTTTGTGTTGTTTTCTATGTTAGCATGTGAAATTTCACCATTTCAATTTTTAAAACAGACTGATAAAAGATTTCATAATTTTCAATAGTAGTTATATATACATATATCTATATTGATAATGCATACTAAAGATGTACAAATATATATGTGAAAGCATTTGATGATTGTATAGTAATTCTAATACCTTTATTACTATTTTCCATAAAGGTTAGATTTCATATTTGATACTGGAGCTCCATAAAATTAATAATGGAACAGCAAGAAAGCAACAAATACAATTGAGCAGTCCTATAAAAATGTGGAGGAAGAGTACAGGAATACAAGAGCCAGTATATCCACATTTATTTTCAAATATATTATAAAATATTGGGGTGAAGTGAAATAAGGAGAGGAAGATTTTGAGGAAAAGCATATGTTTTAATACTAGCATCAGTATTATAAATAAATATACAAAAGCAATCACAGATTGTAACTCAATATTGCCTTATAATAATAAGACAGTTTTATAAATAAAAAATATATAGTTTAATTTTATATCACTTTATAATCCAGTTTAATTGTTTGGATTCAAAAAAATAGATTTTGTTTTGATTTTACGATAGCAACAGATAGTCATTAAAATGACTAACACTTCATTTCAAAATATGTTATTTAGTTTTATTAAAATTTAGAAGCATGTGTCACATAATAATCTGCATTTATAAACAAAATTTATTTCATGTGTCCCTGGTGACCTCAAGTCCCCATATGTTCATTCATTCATACACTTAATATTACTGATTGTCTAGTAACAGGTACTGCGATAGATGAAAGATGGGAGGGACTGGAGTGAGAATGTACAACTAAATAAGACAGAGGCTCTGCCCTGAAGTCATTCACAGTCAAGAAAAGAGAGCTATGTAAACAACAGTATGCTGGCTGAATATGAAGCATTCAACATAAGGATTAGCCTCATATTTCACAGAATATCCTTGAAGTGTTTGCTGTTTAGTTGATGTCATTGCTAAGCCCTTATCAAGAGATTTCCCCAATGGTCCATGAGATAGTGTACAACTCTATCCCCAGGCTCAGGGTCCCATGCTGCTATGAGTAACATATTAAATAATTTCTTT